CGGGAAGTTGAAAGAAGGGATAGGGATGAAGAGTTACTTGGACGGCCCCATGGACTACGCAAAAAAACTGAAGTTGCAATTTCGAGTAGGCGATCTGGACTTGCCAGAACGGAGGAAGAGGTACAGCAGCCGTAGGAGAGAGGAAGAGGAAGATAGACAGACATGTCCATGTGGCAAATCGGAGGAGAGTAGACCCCACATAGTTGGGGAGTGTGAGCTGTACAGGAAGGAAAGAGAGGATCTCGAGGAGGACATGAGACAGAGAGGGTGTGACATGGACAAGTTTGGTAAATTAGACAACAGCGAAAAAACGATCGCGGTAATTGGGGATAGATGGTGGGCACATGAGGCCGTAGAGGACGGGGATAACATGTGCAAGGAATTTTTATGTAGTTTGTGGCAGAAACGTAAAGAGCTCCCAAATGTTGGTGGTGTCTCTAGTAGGGGTAGGAACGGTGCTCCGTCTCGAAAGGGACGCGTGGTCAATGGTCAAATGACTACGGCAAGCAACAAATGAGTACGCCCCCCCCCACCCCCCGCCCTTCGCTTCCGGCTCTCTCGAGACAAGATTTCGGCCTGGCCAAGATGTTGAGACCGGACGACTCGATCGGCGACAACTTGTACACCATGACGGGCAACACTGGCTCGATGAGGTGTGTGCCTGTTGTAGTCCGTGGTGCCCCTGCCGTGTGCATTTTCTTCTAGGCACGATGCTTTTGCTTGCACTCGGCCGCGATTTGATGAAATGACTGTTGCCTTCACGTGCAAGAACCTTGCACATACACATGAGCTACACGGCGAGTATGCATGCGGGAAGTGAGCCGCCGCACCAAGAGAGCGACAAGTGGTAACCTGCTGCAAGAGGATTTTGGTTGCTCCGCTTCTTTCGGCAGACGGAAGTTTTCTTTTCTTAACGATTACTCGAAAGGCGTGTGTCTGTTGGTGTTGTTCAAGCTGGAGGGAGGGTGATGATTCAATGAGCTTGCCGGCGAAGCAAGGCACGAATTCCCTCACCTCTAAGGTAGCTACACTGAGACCGAATTGTTCTGTCCCCGAGGCGTTTGGTTATCGTTAACGTTTAAGCTGCTGCCTGTTGTCAGGGCTCCCCGTGACGACGGAATTTCATCAGTTTTGTTGCTCCCAAGAGTCCGGGAACGGAGGAATAGTGGAGACGCAAAACGGAACTAATAAACACAAAACACGAACACCGCCGACCACCACAACAACATCCTGTCCTGCGTTTTTGTCGAGGCAGCAGTTCCCGGACCTCTCTTCTCTTTCTCCCTCACCCTCTCTCTCCCTCACTCCCTCTCTCTTTTGAACAGATACATGGCGCCCGAGGTGGCGAGGAACTTGCCGGCCAACGAAACCGCTGACGTCTACAGCTTTGCGATCGTCTTGTGGGAGATGGTCAGCCTGGAGCTGCCTTTCCAGTTCTACGGAGTAAAGCAGCTGAGCGAACGGTGAGCGAGGGGGAACGGAAGGAAAGACGAATGGCCGCTTCCGTCCGTCCCACGAAAGAGAATACTACCAGCTAGAACGGAAGATCGAATGATTCCGTCTTCTTAGTTCCTCGTGTGTGAAGAGGGTATCGGAGGAGGAGGGCGGAGAGAACGTGGGCGTTTTTCCTCTCCGGTGAGTGAGTGTTCGTTTCCTTTAGATGCGCGAAGAGACGAGGAACACGCGTTCGTGCGTGTCGGTGGTGCTGTCACTGGCGCAGGCGCTACTGCTGCTGCTGCTGCTGCTGCTCCTGCTCCTGCTGCTGCTGCTGCTGCTGAGAAAAGGCCGAGATGGCGAGGCAAGGCTCACCTGGGTGCGTGCGCACGACGCGCAGCACTTTTTGTTTTTTCCACGCCACGACCGCCTAATTCTTCGGTGTTGGGAACGGATGGTGTCCGATCTCTACGAACCTTTCCTACTATCTTTCCTATTCCGTGGTTGCCGCCTCGCCGCCCCACGGTTCCTCCCCCCCTCTCTCGTGTACGTTCTCTGTCTGCCTGCCTGCTTTGCCTGCCCGCGTTCCTTAAGGGTAGCTTTTGGTGGAGACAGACCACGGCTGGCGCCCGACTGGCCGACGGGCTTCACAGACCTCCTCACCAGGTAAGGACCGACCGCACGTAAGAGTAGCCGGCTGCACGCATTCACCGATACACGGCGGCGGTCCGTTTCTAGACGAAATAAAGCCCAAAACCATCTTGAAGCTACAGCACCATGATACACATGCAACCACAGTTTGGTCTCTTAGCGCACTGCCACGCGGGAGGGCATGAATCGTGTGCTCGATGAGTGGGTGTGACAGGGAGGTACGTGGTGAATGTGCGACGCGGTGCGCGCCACGATTGATTGCCTCTATCCTCTCTACTACTTCAGTGTTCAGCGCCTCGCGGGCACCGTGTCGGCTGTCTGAAGTTCTTGATGCGTCGCGTGTGAGCACAGCGCGCGCAAGACTTGGCCCGCAGAGAGGCAGGCATGCGTGACCGTGCATCGCGCGCCGGCTATTTCGTGTTCGAAAGTTGCTTGGCGTAATGTACCAGCACAACACCCTCCTATGCATTCGCCTCACTCTCCCTTTGCCGCGAACCGTGCGCTCTGCTTGGGCTCTGGTTGCGTACTACCGTACATGACACAAGATAACACGCACCCTGGACTGGAATGATTTTCAACGGTTGATTACTCCACGACGAAGAGGATACGTGAGCGAAACGATGCGTTTTCGGGAGAGCTCTCGACCAGACGGCTTCAATGCCGCCGTTTTTCGGCACTGCGATTCTTTGCTGTTGACAGAACGAGCGATGAAAATCGGCCCATGGGGTGCTGTACCTTGTGCCGTATACGTTACACTCACGGCCAGACTTGATTATTTGTTTTTTTTCCTCCTCCCGGACTTCCTCATTCGTGCTTTCTGCCGCCGCTCTTTTCCTCAGATGCTGGTCGGCCGATCTGAGCGAGCGGCCCAGCATGGCGGAAGTGGAGAAACGCCTGCGGGAAGTGTTAACCGGCAACAATTGAACCGCACAACTCAAAAACACCACAAGAATAACGCCATCCTGGTGGTGGTGCGCGACAGGCGTGCTCTTTCTTTCTTCCTTCCTTCCTTCCTTCCTTTCACTATTTGCCCTCAGCTCGCCCCTAGTCTGACTTTCAGAGGTCGATTGCTCCACGCAACGAGGAGGGTACGAAAACCTACCCATTCGTGCAACAGGCGGGAAACGCTCTGGACGAGATGTTTATCTTCTCGAGCACACCCTTCCTTGTCGGCATTTGATATATTGACATCCTCCCCGGGGGGGGCATCGGTCCGTCTTGAGAGCGATGACTCGCACTTGTTGTACGGTACGTTGTTTTCGAGCATTGTTCGTAGGGTTAGTGCGTGGGTGACCTCTTCAAGGTTGCTTATTGCTCTCTATGGAGGACAAGTCTGGTAGTGTATCCTTGGAGTATGTTTCGCTGGTGACCCCGTTTCAAGGTGGAGCAAAAATGCGGTCGTCCTCCTGTAGGTAACAGTTTAACGTTTCGTAAGAGCATCGTTGACTTACGTTTGTTGATGGTCTCAAGTGTGTGTATGGACCATGGTCTCACCTTGCGAGTGGTTTATATCTGGAGCATGGTCATGTAGTTTGTGTGCAGCTTGTGACGCGGGGTGGATTGATTTCGATCGTTTCGTGGGAAGACACTGCTCTGCAGAGATCAGAAAGCATATCATGACAACAGCATCGTCACGGCAGCAAACACTGCCTAAAAGCACGCACTTCGTGGGGCCTTCGTTCTCGATAGAGCAAGGCAATGAACATCCAGGCAAGCCTGGAATGTAGATTATTTTCCTTCAGCTACGATCCGACATGTGTCGGCTGATCCCGGAGACAAATTCTTCAGAGAACGCCTCCGGGAGCGGGGGTCGTTGGCCCTCTTCCAACCCACTTTTCGCCGTATGGTCGAATCCACGTCTGTCTTGCGGCTGTCTTGGTCTGACTATCTATCGAGCCAGAGTTGCAAATTCCCAGCATGAACCACGTCGAGACGAGAACGCCGTGGGGGTGAACTTTCACAAGGTTTCCTGAACATGGGTGACAGAAGGATCGAGAGAGGTGTGTGAAAGGGGACCAATGTTCCCGTCGTCAGATATTATGTCATGTAGGACGACTGACTTGTCTTCAGCAAGTCGAGCCTCTTTTATGGTGTGTCCTGTCGCGGCACGCGAGGCAGCGTGGATATTGTCGTCGTGGTTACCACTTTCCACGACTCTTTGGAAGGCTGCTTCCCCTCAACAAACCAGCGTTGCTTGGGTAGTATGTATCTATCTTCTCTGTATCGCGCACGGAACGAATATGGGGGGGATGCTCTCACAAAGTTCATCTTCGTCCCGCCACATGTATTCCACATCTCTAAGCGTGTTTGTTTGATCTCGACTACAGCAGTGGGAGGCCCTCAACATTGCCGGTGACGTGGCCGGCACATCGACCTCCGCTGATCGATGTATAGACTGATTCGCACAGCGATGCACAGGCGCCAATCAGCCGGTATTGTTGATACCCCCCCCACTGCACATGTTTTTTGCTCGTTTTCTTTTTTTGTGATGTCTGACACGGGTACCCGAACATTGTTTCCTTTCTTCGAAATAAGACTAACGGATCTGTCCAAGCAGACGAAATCAATGCCCAAAACCATCGGGCTATTTTAGTTTCGACAAATGCCCCAATCTGCAGACCACAACAAGATGTGAAATAATGTGTGACAAGCGATAAGAGAGAGTCTCCGTGCCCGCAGTTTCAACGCCAGGGGGTGAGATCCCCGGACTCTAGAGGTGTCGTGTCTGTGCGGCGGGGGCTCCTCGCGAAAGGTGTGACACTCCGAAGAAACGAGGTTCGCGTAATGTGTCGGGACAACAGGATATCGCGGTGTCTACTGCATGCGTCAAAGCGTACATACGCCTTCTTTTTGTCTTGACGCCAGCAGCGTCGTAGGCGGCGCTGTGCTTTTGTGAGGAACGAACGCACGGCTGGCGCTTCATATCCAGATTCCGGTTTCACGGGAGCAAACACCGGCATAAAATTATGAACGAAAGCCGGGATTGCCGCGACGAAGACGATTCGCATGGAGGAAAAGACGAAATTGTGGAGTTCACTCAACTCCGGATTCGTTTTAGCTCAGATCATTAATTTTCAGCCGTTGATGCGTTTGTCAAGTCCTCCTGGGACAGTGACACCACAACATCCCCGTGAACCATCACAATTCTTTCGCCGTCATAAGCAGAGCACAGGCCGAATTCCCACCACAGGACAACGGCAAGTCGCCCCCCCCCCCCGGGAACGGCCACAGGCTCCCAACACGAACGCGCACCAAAAACGACACACGACCGACGAGGTGCTACTGCAACCGACCACACGATAGGGGCGCGGGAAGGTATCGTCTACTCGTCCTCCGCAGCGCGGGCCGCGCGGATCTCTTCCTTCTTGGCGGCGACTCTCTCCTTGCGCTGGGCGTAGGTGAGCTTGACCTGCGGAGGTGGTAGTGTTGGTCGACCGGTGGATCGGGGGCGAAGAACAGCACAAAAAAAGGACACAGCCAAAGTCCGTAAACAGAAAACAATGGAGGGGCACGACGGAAGGGTGTGAATATAAGAAGCGGCGGACGAGTCCGAGAGAGAGCGGGGGAACCAGAGGTGCGGGCACAGGTCTCGTCGCGTAGCGAAACGGACTTTCGTGAAACTACCAAGCAGTCAAGTGCTTTTCAGAAGCAACACGCGTATGTCGTGCAACGCATCACAACTCCACACTAGTATGCGGGGCGGTACATCTGTACCCGTTTCTTAGTGACGGGTGGTGAGCGTCTTCACCACCAACTGTTGGAATATTACCCCAATACTCGTAGCTGTTCCCGCCGGACGAAGGCAAATAGCCCGAACTGTTCATGGCCAACTTGTACACCGACTACATTCCCGCATTTTCTTGAACACGACTCTGTACTTCCGGCCACAGGTTAAGACTCGAGGCGTCAAGGGTTGCGACAAAGGCAAGGACACTATATAGAAACAAAGCACTTACCGCGTTTTTGAAGGACTTGTCCGGCGTGAAGGCCGTCTTCGGCGCCGGAGAGGGGTCCTCGCGAATGGCTTTGTGGGTCTCCTTGTACATGTCCTCGATGTCTTCGAACGTGAGCTCGTTCTCGATGTACGACGCGAAGTGCTCCTTGTACTTGGCCTCGTCTTCCTCCGTCNGGGGGGGGGGGGGGGATTGGGACGGTCAGAAGTTTTCAAGAGCGTGAGAAGTCAAGTATACTCATGCTTGAGTATGTATGTATGGGAAAGGAGAACATCCGCCAATACCAAACACGGGTATGTTGCTCGCATGAGAGCATGGCATTGTCCAGTACTAATACGAGTTGTCTCCATAGCACACTCATTTCCAAAAAATCCCTGCGGCCAACACCGAACCATTGGCCACCGGGAGTGCCGTGTGTGCTCGGCATTACTCTACATGGGACACAAGAGAATATCGTATGCGCCTCTGTGCTACCGGAAGCTGTGTAAAAGGAAACAGAGGGTCAGCGGCACCATGGCAGACATACGCGAAACCATCAACAAGCACTCCACATGAATCATAACCACCCCAGATGTGCATTCATTTGTATGATCACAAACATGACTCCACAGAGATACACGGGTATTACACTCACATCGTACTGCTTGGTGTCGCGGTCGTAGCCGGGGAAACGCTTCTCGTTGTGGGGCACGTCCAGACCACCGTCTGCGGCGCCCTTCATGCAGCCGAACACGCGGTTGCTGGATAAACGGACGGGACAGGGGAAAAAGGGCACGAAGGTAAGGTATAAAACAAGACACGAAGAGGTGCAGCACACGACAAGGGAGTTGGACGAGGAAGGAGGCAGAACGGCGCACAACTAATCAGCAGCAGCAGCAGCAGCAGCAGCAGCAGCATGCAGGGTGTGTGTGTGTGTGTGTCGTGGACGAAAGGAGAAACGACTGAGGGGAGCGTTTCATCCAACAGAGAGGGGCCCTCGCATCGGCAAGTAGCAGTTGAAGTAGCCACAGCTCATCGCCGGGAAGCCAGACCCAGAACACCGAACAAATGCACACGAAAACCGAAAAACCTAACGAATGCGCACGTGGACGCGTCAAACACACGTCAAATTTTCCAACCACATAAACGAAATGCACGAAACACATTTGGAACACAACACACTACGCTACGCAACCATCATGTACAAATTTGGAAAAAACGACATAGGCCAGACAGAAAAACGGCAACAGTTGACTATTAATAGTGCTAGAGTTATACACACCCGGTGGATGTGGACCGGATGCCGACATCAAGGAGGGCCTTGAACGGCCGCTTTTCCTCGTCCACCTCGTCGACGTAGTACGTGCGTCCGTTAGACTCGGACTTGACCACCTGTCATAACCCAGCCAACCCAGTTGCATGTTTAGTGAGCGTCGAGTGCGTGATTGTGTGTGCGACAAAACGAAATCATTCAACGCGCCACCCGACCATATCGCACCTCGTTTTTTTACGTTGGTGAGACACCCGAACAAAAATACACCAATACGTTTCAGCCTTGACGTCATCATTGTCACCGTCAGCACACACGGCTGTTTCCTCTCAAAAGCACATGCATATCGAACGTTATCCATCATTTGTACGGAAATCGCAAACTTACCCGTAGCCCGTCGGTTCCGTCCTACTTCTGAGCTTGACTAAGCGACCAGCTACAGAGATCCAGGAACGCCGATATGCGGTGGATGATAGAAACGGGCGCACAGGCTACCCGCGCGTAGTGATTCCAAGATTTCGCCCGTTGCAAGGCGGTCTGCGAAGCACGATAAGTTCGCGATGAGTCCCAAGACCCAAATATCACCAAAGGGTGCTAAATTTGCCCCGAAAGGCGTTTGTAATCAACGACGAATCAACTTGCGGCGAGAGGAAGCAAGTAATAACTCTTGCTTACAGGTAAAACACACGCGTGCGACTTTGATACTCCTATCGCAGCACGCGGAATGTTCCCTCACGTTTCCGTCGACCTCGTCCTCGTCGTCGTCGCCGTCCTCTTCCACGCCAACTCCCTGACCGGTGTAGAGGTTTTCCATCTTCTTCTCGTCGTCTGCCTCGTCGAGGCCCTGCAGACGAAATATCAAGAATGGGGGAGAGGGTCGTTCATTCTTCAAGGATGAACATGAACGGAAACCTCGGGTTGCAACGCCGCGCCACGTTTCGACAAAGGAAATCCACGAAGACACCGCTCCGAGGACTCCCGCTGCGGGTAAAATCCCAAAACAAAAACACACGACACGACGCAAGCTTAAGCTTCCACGCGAAAACAAAAAAACTGCCTCTCCTCTCACCAGCTGACGGAGCAGGCGGCGGGCAACAAGGAGCCCGGTGCAGTACGCCGCGGCGTAGTTCTTGAGCCCAACCTTGCAGCCGTACCGGGGGAGCTCGGTGGAGGAGGCCTGGCACATGCATACGTCCCCCTGGATGGTGGCGTAGATGATCTGCGCCAGCACGAACTTGTTGGTGAAGCGAACGACGAGCCTGTACTTCGGCGAGTTGTACTTATTCTTGTCCTGGCAGATAAGCCTCTTGCGGGCCCGGTAGTCGGTCTTGCCCTCGCGCCTGCGGCGGAACTTCACCTGGTAGCGCTTGAAGTACGCCTTCGTCTTCTGGACCTTCACGAACGCCTGTTGAGGGTGGTTCGTTCCCAAATGATCCGTTTGGGAGGGGGGGGGGGGGG